AATGTGGGCATGAATACTGAGGAGGGATTGGGCCTTTATGGACAATGAGGTGGGGAAACAAAGTCCAAGAAACAAACATTTCCGATAATGTGGTTCGGCCACTACTAACCTAAATTTATGCAAAAGAAAAATAAAACTTCTGTCTTGTTTCAAAGAAAATAAATCCTAATTAATACAGTAATTCTTCCTTCACTTTCTCCAATCCCAGTCTTCTTGCTTGATTCTTTCTAATACTTTAGGTCTATTTGCTTTAAACATTACCTCTTAAGAATGGACTTCTCTGTTCTTCTCATCTGCCTACCCTCAGACCTTATAATAAATACACTTTTAATTTTTCTAGATTTTTCATTCATTGTATTTATTACAGTTTATGTGTATTTATGTATTTCATTGATTTCTTTATCACTGGCCTTAAGACAAAGACTCTGTTTTTGTTTCATTCTAGGTTCATTTTTCATTGCCAGGGATCATCTGTGCCTAGCACGGAAAAAGCAATAGATATTTATAGACAACAGGATTGAGAAAATTAGAGGATCTCCTCCACTCTCCTAGGAACCCTAACACACCCACAGTAAATATAGAAGGCCTCTGCATCTCTGCTTAACAAAAACCATGGGGGAAAGTTTTAAAACAGAGTTATTCGCAAATATATTCAAGTGGTATGGCACTTGGAAATAGTAGTGCATAAAAGAAAAAATAGATAATGTGAAAATACCTTTATCTCAAAAAGTAATGCATAAACTACTTAAAATCACATTTCTCAGTTTCAATATTTTCTTTTTACTTTTTCATATATTTTTATTATCTCTAATGCAGTCACACTAAGGGGTAGAGAAGCTTGGGGGGAAAAGCAGTACAAATTTTATCAATGTGTATACAAAGTGGAAAAAATTATTTTCAATTTTCAGAGCAGGAAGAGGGAGGGCTGTTGGGGTACCCTTTTCTTAGCAAAACCACCTATTTTAGTTACTTGTGCACTAACCAAATAATGTGTTTATAATTGTGGCAGACCAACCTCTAACAATTGCACATTCAAAAAATTAAATATTTTTCATCAAATACTGGATTGTTCCTTAATACTAGGGATTGCTGCAAAGCTTTAACATGTATCAATTGACTTAGCTGTAGATAAGAAGGGATTCCTCCTTATTATGAGAAGGCAAGACAATTTAGTCATTTTTCACCCTCAAACTTTGCCAATGATCATTCCTCCCCTAAGACACTCTAGAAGACCAAATGCCCAGAATTAAGAGGTAAAAATATGAGACTCTGCCATTAAAATATTATTGAGAAGGGATGTAGAAATGGTCCTTTTTTGGGACCATTTCTTACTTCCAGACCAAGGCATGGACTGCAAAGCTGGTATTTAGTTTAAAAACACTTTCTCCTCTCCACTGTAAGACCAGAGTTCTACATGGATACCCTAAAGCTTAGGTCTACCAGTTCTACAGATAGTAAGCTTTTTTTTCCTTTGTATTTTCTGAGGACATCTGGTTGGCTTTGGTACAAAATATGAAAAAATGTCAACATTTTCTTTCCCTTCCCCTAACTTATAATCTTAAAATCTCACTTTCTCTCCTTCCCACTCCCTCTCATCTCCTCCTCTCCTTCCCTCTTCTCCTTCTCATCCTTCTCCTCCTTCTCCTTCTTCTTTACTCCTCTCTCTCTCTCTCTCTCTCTCTCTCTCTCTCTCTCTCTCTCTCTCTCTCTCTCCACACACACACACACACACACACACACACACACACACACACACACACACCAGACCTATCAACTAATTTGGTGGGAAAATTAGTTCAATTCTTTCTTCATATTTGAATCTAGCTAATTGAACTAGTAAATAAATAGAATGTTATAATGTCATGGGAGGGTACAGAAAACACTTCAAGTCACTCTAGCTTTGCCCCTTGTTAGCCTGTGATGTAACTTTTCTATTCAATCAACTTTAAAATGTTTTTCAGTTAGAGTGAGAAGGCAATGTAACCCACTCTTTATGAACATAGACTTGACCTCGGGCTGAATTACAGCTGAAGTACTGGCTCCATCATTTAATTAGGTGTGTGATCTAGTATGAATGTCAAGTAGTTAGCAGAGTTTCTGATGCATAATAAATGTCATTTCTCCTTTGAAAACTGTAAAGCCTTCCATCAATATTCATTTCTGTTACCCAAAGATGCACATAAAATAAGATGTCCAATAACAGAACATTCATCATGCTTTCTCACTATCCCATATCATAACCTGCCTTATCTACAAAGCTGGCCTGCCCTTCCCAGAGAACATGCTCTCATCTCATCTTCTTTTCAAAAAGAAGGGGGGAAAAGTCCCAACAGACCTAGTATCTGACCCAGCAATTCCACTTTTGAGTATTTATTCAAAGATAATGAAAACACTAATTTGAAAGATCTCTGCACGCCTATGTTCACTGTAGCATTAGTTACAATAGCCAAGATATGGAAACAACCTAGGTGTCCACTGGTAGACGAATGGATCAAGATGGGGTTTCTATACACTCAATAGAATATTACACAGCCAGAAAAAAGATCGAACTCTTGCCATGTGCAACAACATAGATGGACCCAGAGTGTATTATGCTAAGTGAAATAAATCAGACAGATAAAGAGAAATACTGTATGATTTTACTTATACATGGAATCAAAATAAACAAAAAATGAAACAAAAACAGACTCATAGAAACACAGGTTGCCATAGAGAAGGGAGTGGGAAAAGGTGAAAGGGAATATAGTCAATAATATGGTGATTAGTTTACAGGGTGACAGATGAGTACTAGAATTAGTGGGGAGATCACCTTGTAAGGTATAAAAATGTCTAATCACTATGTTGTACACCTGAAACTAAGATAACTCACATAGTATTGTGTACCATCTATGGTTAAATAAAAAATACTACATTTTTCCCAATTCTAATGTTGAACTAGTTAAAAATAATAGCATGCAACAAAAGCCCTTATCTTTTTTAAGCATCTTGGAAATCTACCTGTAAAGAATGGCAGCCCACATTGTTGTTTTTCTTTTCTGACAATGATTGATTTCTTTCCAGACATTAATTACTAGTACCACAGTCTACTGTGCTGTCATTAAAAAGCTCATTAAGGTGGCTTTCCAGAATTTCCAGGAGAGTTAACATGCGTCAACTCCTGTACTCAGCAAAGCTAGCAGAAGGCACTGCTAGGCTGTTCTTTTTTAAAGCAAGTACAGGTTTTCAAAACAGGTGTTACCATGGACATGACCATGAAACATCCTGCTTCTCCACAGCTCCTACAAAACAGGTACTTTCTCATTTTAGTTTTTAATACATATGTCTGTACTCTACAAAAAGCAATATGCCTGGGAGAATTTCCAGATATTATGAAATCTATCATGTGTGTCCATCAGTATGACACCAGAGCGCAGCCTCCAGTACTTTGAGACTCAATAGTAGATGAAGGACTCAGCATACTAGACTTGGAAGTAGTAAAAGCAATTAACAAGGCAGCTGACCTTGCTTCTTCCCCAATAGTGGCCAAGGGGGTAGTAGAAAAATAAAACAAATCCAGAGGAGGTTGGTTATTCCTCTGTTCCTGTGATTGCACAACTGACAAAAATATGTCAAAGAACAGGAAAAACTTGTACTATTATATTCTAGAAGCAAAGAGAGTTAAAGACAAACTCCTCAAGGCCATCCAGCTCAAAGATTCCCAGTGTTTACTGTGTACAGGACTAAGACCCTCCACTAAGATTCTGACTCAGCAGCAGTAGGTAGTAGTAGCAGTAGATAAAAGCAGGAAGTGTGGTGGTAATATTTAACACTGAAAGCACTTGCTTTATGCCAGATACTGTGCTGAATTCTGTTACTCTATTTAATCCCCACAACAATCCTATTTGGTAGGTGCTACTATTACACCCATTTTATAGATGAGAAGATCAAGCCAGAGTGGTTAAGGAATCTGTCCAAGGGAATGAATCTATTAAGAAATGAATGAGGATTCTAACCCAGATAGGCTGGCTTTGGAGTCTGAGCTCTTCATTAATCACTACACTACCCACCAAGAGAGTTAGGGTAAGTCCCAGGGCATTAAGAAACCAAGCTTTTCTTTTCTGAGTAGAGAAACTGAAGCCCAGAGAAGTGAATCTCTTATCTAAGACAAAAAAAAAATCCCTCAGTGCACTTCCAGGAAGAAATCAACCTTTCTATGACACCAGCTATTCTTAAACATTCCTCTAAGGAGAAAATGGGCAGAGACATTATGGAAAGCCAGTCTGCTGGTTCCGGCTGTTACTCTGACCAAGGCACTCTTCTGGGAAAGATTTCCATCCTTCTCCTGCCCAACTCACTCTTCACTCCAGGATATGACATATTGGAGAGTCAGTGTAAGGGGCTCCCAATCATGGTGATTTTCAAATAGAGATGGTGGCTGGAATGTGGGAGATTAAGGTCACATAATTTGAACAGGGGGAAAAAAAGATGTGATTCTGATATGGTTCCAAATTATGGTCTTCTTCCCCTATACCGACTATTCTAAGACCTTAGTGAACGTTGAAACAGCATTAGAACCCTGATTGTTTTAACATAGACAGGTAGGCAGGATACCCAGAAGGATTGGATCTATCCTAATCTAGAACTGCTCACATACATGATCTCAAAAAAAAAAGATAAATACATTTTCTAACATTTGACATGCATGAGTGGGCCAAAAATCTTATAGATGCATCGAAATCATACCTTTTCACTTAGTTGTCTTTTCTGTTTAAGAATCAAGGTTACTCTGGGGGACCATAAGCAAGGATAATTACCATATATTCCAAGCAAAGGGTGAGCTAGCATGACCAATATGCAGAGGCATTTCCCAGAAAACAATAAGAGCTGCAGGGTTGGGGGAGGTGTTGGCGGGTGTGTGTGTGTGTGTGTGTGTGCGCGCGCTTGTGTGTGTGTGTGTGTGTGTGTGTGTCAGAGTTTGTTCCTGTGCCAATGACGCACGCTGGTAGCCACATCAAACCAACCTTCATCACTTCCACCTGCAGGTCTTCGTGGAGGGAGGGCGTCACTTTCACGGCGTTCAGGATCTGATTGAGCAGCTGCTTCTCATCGGAGTCTGTTTCCATGGATACAAACCTCTCTTCTGACACAAGCTTCTGTAAAGAGGCACAAGGCAGTGATCACAGACAGGCTCTCCCCTGCCGCTTACTCTGTTGTAGCTTAGGGCATACAGAGGGTAATTTTTTCTTAGGAGGCATGAAGCTGGAGTCCATTAGGAAAGGACTCCTGCTCTAGATGTCATTGAAAAGAAAACAACACATCAAACTTTTGGTAAACTTTTTGGCAAAGTCTTCTTCTTGCGATTAGATAAGTCATTATATACTAGAGGCCCGGTACATAAAAAATTCATGCACTGGAGGGGAGGTCTCTCAGCCTGGCCTGACCCCCTCTCACAGTCCGGGAGCCCTCAGGTGCAGGAGGCGACCTGGCAATCAGGGGAAGGTAATGCCCCATTATACCTCTGGTGCTGCCAGTACCGGCAGCACAAGTCTTGGCCATCCCTGGTTACGTGATCCTTGGGCGGCCCTGGGCGGCTGGGCAGCTGCCATCTGAGTCTTGCCTGCGCCTCGGGCCAGCCATGGGTGGATGGGGGCTGAGGAGACTGGGGGACTCTGGAGACAGGCACCACATCTTGGGGCTGTGGGTGCTGCCCTCTTTAGGTGTGGGGCAGTCAATTAGCATATTCCCTTCTTATTGGCTGTGGGTGCCTCCATCTTTGCGATGGTGTGAGGGTCAATTAGCATATCCCCTCTTTATTAGATAGGATTTTACCAAGTGAAATTCTAACATGGTGGGCACAAGGTTATTTGGGTGATTGGGGTAGAGCATGCATGGGCTAAGGCAAATCAACCCTCACAAGAGTCGTGCGCACACACACTCCTTCTGAATGGATCTTGGTGATGGGAAAGAAGTCCTGTAGACAAGTTCCTTTTCTCACATGTTTACTTGTTCACTTACTACTGCGAACTATCATTTACCCAGGAATTGCTCATGAATCTACAAAATGTAGTGTATTTTCATTAGAAAATGACTTTTGCAAAAACCTAAACAAAATGATATTCACTTTCACCAGGTTTCCCAGGAGTCATTATGCCCCACAGGACAGCCCTTTTTTCTTTCAGGACAACTCTTGCTTTTCATGAAATTCTTTCTTAGATTGTACCCAAACCCAACTGCCTACAGCTTCTGCTCACTTATCCTTCCCCAGATTCACACGATTAGGCTTCTGAAGTATCTGAAATCAGCTGTGATGTCCATCTAAGTCTTTTCTCTATACTAACCCTCCTCAGATACCTTCAATGGCATAGTTTCACAGGTGCCCTTTGGCTAAACATGTGGCCTTCACAGTGAATGCAGGACCTCATGAGTGGTCTGACGTGAAAGAGTAGTGCACCCTAAGGTAAACTGTGGACGGTGGATCAATATGGTGTATTAATATAGGCTCCTCCTTGGTTAAAAAAAAAAAAATCATGAACCATTTTGGTGAGTGATGTTGACAATGGGGAGGCTATGCATGTGTGGGACAGAGGTGCATGGGAATTCCTTGAACCTTCCTCTCAATTTTATTGTAAGTCAAAAACTGCTCTAAAGTAATAAAGACTTTTAAAAATTAAAAATTAAAAGATGGCCGAGGAAAAGAAGGGAAAGAAATGGGTCCTTTGGTGGCATCACAGAGCTGGTACACCAAATCTAAAATGGCTCATCTATAGAATTCTAGTTATGTAAAATAATTAAATGTGTTTATTGCCTAAACAAACAAATGGTAATTCATAGCTTTAATCACATTCTCAGATCAAATGAGCTGTTAAGTCATGCCACATTCTGTGCTCACTCCCACTTGTGAATGAGAACACCTAATTCTCATTCACAAGGACTGAAAGTGAGCTGTTCTCCCCCCATTGTGTCCCCGGGCAGTGGGTTTGTGAGACCCAGTGAAGGACTTTCTATTAATCTCTGTTCTATCTGTCCTTGGCCACTTCAGTGTAGAGTCGCTACTGTGAAGAGCTTTTGGCTTCTGATTGTCCAGAGCTATGCCTCCCTCTTTTAGCTGAATGCCATGCAGATAGATCAGAACAAGGATGGTGAACCTTCTTCTCAGAACTCTCTGACATTTGTGCCTGCATTCTCTCAAAAGAGATTTTTCACTATTATCTAGTGCATGCCGGGCAGCCCAGAGGTAAAGTTAATATACGAACCTCTTACTAACTACAGTGATAAAGACTGGGAAGGCCAAAAATATTGCCTGAAGTTAATCTGAGGTAACAAGGAATGGTAAGAGGAAGCTCAATGCCCACCAGGTCACTGATGCTATCATAATTAAATAAACCCTTGAAATCACAGTCCCCTAACTTAGAGTGCTGGAGGGTTAAGAAAATAGTAGCTAAATGGAAAATCTATACAGTACGTGAGAAAAAGGAACCTCAGTGGCAGGTGAAAACAACCTTCCATTCATTTTTATGGTTGGCCCAATTCCCTGGGAGAAGAGCAAAGTTTTTAATAACATTATGGATCATGTTTAAAAATGTCTAGTGCTACCATAAAATTAAATATACTTTATTTAATTCAGTGGGGGGAGGGAGTAAGAAAAGGTATCAGGGGCCTCTTTGAACTTAGAGAGCTAACGATGAAATTACACATACGGGTGTGAAAAGTCAATGCATTTATCTAGCCATCTCTCTTGCATTCTTGCAATGGCTCTGTTATGTAATGTGTAAAACACAAATGAACAAATGCTCAGAGAAGGAAATGTTCCCAAACAATCTAACTTTTCCTATTAGACCAAATTTATTTTTTCTTCTCCATCTTACTCTGAAAAACAAAACACATTATCCCACTTGCCAACCTAACTGTAGAGTAGGAAACAAAACAAAATGTGTCAGGTTTGCCATCAATTTTCATCCACAGAACCACAGGCATTGGGTGTATACAAGATTTTTGAGTTGATATGGAACCTGGGGTGTCTCTCTTGGGATCCCTTGTTCTCCTAAAAGTTGGACCTCACATAAAATATTTCACTTTTGGTTTTACTCAGTGGACAGAGTGTCAGCCTGCAGACTGGATGGTTGTAGGTTTGATTCCAATCAAGGGCATGTACCTCAGTTGCAGGCTCGATCCCCAACCTCAGTTGGGGTGTGTGTGGGAGGCAACCAATGGATATGTTCCTCTCACATTGATGTTTCTCTCTTTCTGCCTCTCCTCCTCCCTTCTACCCTCTCTAAAAAATTAACAAGTAAAAAAATAAATGAAAAACATATCCTCTGGAAAGGATTAACAAAAAATTCACTTTTGTGCAGCTTAGCCGAGTCCTCATAAATCAGTGTGTGAGGCCAAAGGCTCAATAAGATAATGTGGTATACAAAGAAATGTTGATGAATATTTTAAAAAATCTTGTGATCCTCTCTGGTTGTTATCTAGTTCAATCAAAATTATGTCTGGGTCTTTAAACAGCTAGTGTTTAAAATATTAACTGTTTGCTCTTTCCATGCCAATGCGGCCTGTCAATTTCTGTCGTCCCCAGTGTACTCAGTGCGAACCATACCTGTATTCCTGCCAAGGCATGTTGGGCCAGCTTCACATTCTTGGATTCCAAAGCCAACTGGAGAGGCAGGAGGCATTTCTCCCTGGCAAACATATAAATAAGGACATGTGAGCCCCGCAAAGTAGGCAGTCAAGTGTAAGGAGCCTTATGGACAACCCCATCCCTCAAATGCTGCCACACACACTACAGAAACTATAACCAATCATGAAAATGCACATGGGCTTAAACAAAAACACACAGGAGAAAATATGTGCAGAAATGATAGCATAGCAGCAGCTTGCCTTCCTAGTATGGCTCCAGAAAGACCAAACACAAGGACTCTCACACAACTGCTTTGGTGCATCAGTATTACCTGATGAGGCCCTCACTAGTCCATGAACATGCCTTGCTCTTTCCCAAATTAATAACACTGCTTGTACCATATACCTGGGATGAACAACCCTAGAAAGCACCATTGATACAGATTTCTATGACTTGCTCATTCCTCTCCCTCACCCAGGAAGTGATTGCACCATCAACATTACTTGCTTCATCAATATAAATTAAAATTCTATTAACTTGTCAGTTTCTCTCCAAATCAAAGTGCTCAATAATCATTTGTAATTTTTTAAATTTTTTTCTCTTTAGTCTCCAGTAAGGGGTATACATGAATTTTCTGATGGGTTTTTAATAAACACATTTCCAAGACAGAAATACAAATTAATCATCAATAGCCTTGACCAATGAAAAGTACCTGGTGTCATGGAAGAAACAAATAAAATACATGAAGAGCTACTTGGATATTTTAAAGCTTAAAAAAATAAATAATTACTGGCCCTGGCTAGGTGCCTCAGTTGGTTGGAGCATTGTCCGGAATACAAAAAATTTGTGGGTTAGATTCCCAGTCAGGGCACATTCCCAGGTTGCTGGCTCCATTCCCAGTCAGGGCATGCCAGGAACGCAACCAATCGATGCTTCTCTCTCACGTAGATGTTTCTCTCTCTCTCCCCTTGCCCTCTCTCTAAAAGCAATAAAAATGTATCCTTGGGGGAGGATTAAAAAGAATAAGTAACTGGACACTAAAGCATGTCAGCAATAAACCAAAAGGACTACTAAGAGAAACATGTCTGCTGGAAGCATTCGTTCTAAATAATTAAACAACAGACCAAGAATTTTAATCAGCCCGTTATTTCCCCACAGAGTTACACTGGCACAAATGAAACACGACTTAATTCTACCAGGTTCTTCTATCCCCACTTACACCAGAGCAGCCCCATTATTATGTTTTCTATTTTCACCATAGACAGAAAGAGTCATTGACTTTACAGAGTGTGACAGCCACAGGGTAAGACCACAGGGTTTCGTCTTTGGAGACATAAGGGCCACTGTTGTTGAACACAATGACCCAGAAGCTAATTATAGCTCTGATTCCTTCCTGTCCACTCTGCAGCTCTGCTGCTTTTCCACAGAATCCTCCATCAGCAGCTCCATGACACATGCAGTGAGCATCACAGGCAGTCCCTACGCTAGTCACAAAGACAGAACAAAAACAGGCTCCATCGTGAAGAGCATTCACCTTCCTAATCCTTCTCACCTCTCCCCTCACTAACTGGATGTTACAATACCCCTTTTTATGTGACGACTGATTAGATGCATTCTTTGACAGATGGATCAATTACCCAACTATGCTATTTCCAGACGGGTGGCTAAAAATTTTGTCTCTGTTATTGTTATCGTCAACTTGTAACACTGCCATGTAGTCAATTAAAGCAGAATAGCTGATTTTTCCAATTTTGTTTCTTTTATTTCATCATAACCAGTTCATAAGCTTGGAAAAATTAATTGGAAGGGTGAAGTCAAGTGAGAAGAAGAAATCACGGGCAGATGGAAAACTAACTGAAGAACTACAGAACTTCGTCTGTAAACCCTTAAAACAGTAAAATTTCCATCAGGATTAATTCACTGTGAAATAACTTTCATCTCCAATTGAGAGTCAGACCTGCCAATGAGGGCACAGTGCCAGTGAGCAAGCGCGCAGGTTCAAAGCTCCCCTAGTCTCACAGCGAGCAGGAAAAGTCTATGCTGGGTAGTCATGTGCTGAAAATGCACACATATCACCTATTACTCACCAAGGGAACCAAAGGAGAGTAGAAGCCACATCCAGCAGCAACAGGGACACTCCTAGGAATGCTGACCCTTGGGAAGCAGCATGATGTCTGCATATAAACAGGGGCTTACCTGTGTTGCTCTGCCATCTGCAGGATCAGTCCTTGAAATCCTCATCCCCTCTCTCACCTACTTATTTGCACATCCACGTGATTTACACTGCAGACCTGAGCCGGGTTGTGGACAATCGCCAAGACCACCAGGTTGCACCATGACTCCAGGGGACATCACCGAATTGCTCCCCCTGCCAGTTACAGTCCCTGGGCAGGACCGGAAGATGTAACTGGTTCAGCTAGGTTCTGGCCGAGTTAAAAGATATCAATGTTTAGTGGCAAGAACAGGGGCTGTGGAATCACACAGACCCGGATTCAAACCCTAACCATGTATATAAATTGTGTAATCCCAGTCACAGTGTTGAATTTTCAATCCATAAAAAGGGCATCTTAAGACCAATCCTGCAGAGTTATGGGAAGGAGGACAGATAATATACATCCAAGGTTGGCAAACTTTGCCCAGAAAGAGGAAGATAATATTTTAGGCTTTGCAGTCCATATGGTCTCTGACCTAACTACTCTCCGCTGCCACAGTACAAAATCAATCAGAGCTGACACATAGATCAATGGACGTGGCTATGTTTCAACAAAATGTTATTTATAAGAACAGACAACAGACCAGATCTGGGCTACTGGCTTTGCTCAGCCCTGGTACAGACAAAGGTCCAGCAGAGGTGATAACTTTCAGTACAGAAGAAGCAGATCTACTCTTGCCATAGTATTCAGAAAGACTGTGCAAAAGACATGGGCTGTCTACTTAGTCTACTATAATCTTTTTTTATTTGTTTAAGTTCTTTATTGTTTGAAGTATTACATAAGTCTCCTTCCCCCCTCCCCATTAACCTCTCCCTAGCTCAGCACATGCCCTCACCCCACTACTGTCTGTGTCCATTGGTTATGCTCATATGCATGCATACAAGTCCTTTGGTTGATCTCTTACCGCCCCACCCACCCCACCTTCCCTCTTAGATTGGACAGTCTGTTCAATGTTTCTATGACTCTGGCTCTATTTTTGTTCATCCATTAATGTTGTTTATTATAGTCATGAGTTGAGATAATGTGATGTTTATCTTTATCCGACTGGCTTCTTTTGCTTAGCATAATGCTATAGGCTTTCTGAACCTTGTTTTATAGTTCAGAAAATGGTGGTCGGAAAGGTTTCACAGTCTCTCTGATCATGTGAAGGCCACATAGCTAAAATCCGTTAGAAACCATTCAAACCCAAGTCCATCTGATACCAAAAACCAAATTCCTTCCAACACTCTTTAGTCTCAAAAGATCAGAGCAAAGCAAGAACATATCTGTTTCTTAAACTTTTTTGGATCATAAACACACAAAAATCTGGCAAAAGACTCTTTTCCTAGGAGATCATTTCAGGGAATTCACAGCTTCCCACCCCAAAATCCCAACTCCACATGGGTTCTATGTTAATATCCCCTGCTCTCAGGGTATAGGCCCCTGCCCAAGTTGGCAGAAATTTCAGTGTCTGCCTCAGAAGAGGCGGCCCTGTTCCCTGAGCTTAGGGATCTGGTAGGATGGGCAGTAGCTTCGTGTGAGAGCGTGCATGCGTGCGTGCGTGCGTATGTGTAGGAGGTAAAAGGGATGCTAACTCTCCTCAGGATCCAAGGCCTCTCATCCTCTCAGACCCAGCACTCCAGATCAGCATCACATGCCTCAGATCCTGACACTGACAGGAAAGGAAAGAAGCTCACAGGGCACAGTTGATCTTGCTGCATGCTGTGTGACACCATAAAAATCCTGCTGCCTAAGTTCTTGAAAATGATTATAATAGAAAATAGCAGGGCCTGTTAACTGGGTCTCAGAATGAAATTTATAATGGAGATGCAACGTGGAACACACTCAGTGCCCTTTGCACATACTCTATTAGAATAAACCAGATTTTATCTTTCTAGATGCTGTCTCATTGGGAACAGGGAATACCAAAAATCAATATTCAATTACATTCAGCGATTGTTTCTTATGCACAGGCATGTACAAATCCACTCTTGCCTAATTAAATAAAGGCAGTGGCCCCAGGTTTCATGTCCTGACATATCATTATGTCTAAAAGCAGAATAATTAGCAGTGCTGCATATGCACGAGGGAGACATCATCCTGAGACCCAGTGTCTGGGCACGTCAAGGAGACGGAGCCTATTTCCTTAACTGCATTATCACGCTTCACAGATCAGTTTTATTGGGATAGACGATAACGATGGACAAAGGGAAATTAAAATAGATGAGCAGGGGACAAGTTAGGATTTATCAAAAATTACCTTTTCAATACGTGCACAAACATGAGCCTCAAGTAAAAATCAATGTTAGGTTGATTCCCCTTTGATGCATTTCATAGGAAGGAGCACAAAGTTGCCTTAGATTTCTAAGGTCTGCTTACACTTTGCAATTCTAGGATTCTATAATCTAAGGCTTTTATTCAATAACCAGATTCCTCCACATCATTACTATGATTCTCGTTGAAAACCAGTGGCTTCTATGTGCAAACTACCATGCTACACATGTCCATACTTACTATTTTATTGAACTATAACTTTTGAAAGTAGAGATTTGTTAACAAAGCAAAGAGATTGCTGTCCAAGGTCACATGTTTGCAAATGACAGAGATGAGATTTAAACTTAGACCATCTGTCTTCAAAACCCATGGTCTTAGGCCTCTACCACAATACCTATTACCAGCAGACAGCTCCCCCTTACCTCCTGTCTCCAGGCCTATGGCACACTGCTTTAAAAAACAGCAATCTCAAGTGAAGTGCAGCATAGTGAGTAGAGTCAATAATATTGTAGTAACTATGCAATTATGCCAGATGGGTATATAAATGTCTAATCACTATGTAATACACCTGAAACTACTAAAATATTGTTTGTCA